CAGTACATGACTTCAGCCTTCATTTTTAGGATTGCAGATCTGAAGATCCTCAAGGACTTGTGTGTGTTTGCTTTTGGTCTTTCCAGGAAGCCAGTTTTGGGGAGAGGACGTTTTGCCGGGCCCGGCACGGTCCTCCTGGTGATCATTTGTGAACAAGCAAGGTCCACCAGGTTGTGGCGGCCCCATTCATATTGCATCTACCCGGCCTTGGCCTGCTGGTGCCCCTGGCCCCATTTATATCGATTTCCAAGGTCCCATGGCACCCCGCCTGCAGCGTTGAAACCATCCGAAGCGCCGAAACGAAGAGGTGGAGACCGTCGGAGGGAAACCATGTAGGTGACAAAGATGGGGATGAAGCGCATAACCACACACGGACAACATGATAGGAGAACCAATACCCTATCTACTACGTAGCTGTAAACTCAACAACTGGGACCGGCAAATGTGAAGATGCAACGGCCAAGCACGCCCAATTGTGTAAGAAAGTCGGAAGACATGTGTTCTCATGAGTTCTCACCTTTAACACGGTCAACTTGTAGTAGTCGCATGCTCCGAGTCGTTCTCGGCTGATTGCCACGCTCATTCTCGGCCCGGAGTGCCCTCAGAGATACTTTTGGTTGCGAACAGAACAAGTTGAGGTTGCACTCAGATCTGTTGACCCTCCAACACGGCACTCATGTGGGCTCCACTGTGGTCAAGACTTCAGGGTGCAAGTCTTCACAAAGACGCTCCAGTCTGTGGCTGTTTGCTTGCTTCACCAAAGCCTGTGGTGAACCCCAGCCGAACTCCCGACATTAATTCATGTTGCCCCACACCGGGGAGAGGTCCAAGAAGGCTGGAGGTGACGAACTCTCAAGAATTGTCTCCGACTCATGAAAAGACCTCAATGGACCCCAATGAGATGGACACCTTTGGATAAAGTTCTCTTTTTCAGGTGGTTGGAAAGACCTTTGGATGAAAACCATTAATGGATGTTCACCAAAGTCCACCTTTGGATGTTCATGTGGTTGGACCTTGTAAGTTGTCGTGACATCCATGGAAGATGTGGCGGGTCCTGTGCACGGGGTCTTCAAGGAAGGTGAAACAGTGCTGCAACGTCAGAATGCCTGGGGACTTTGCCTTTTAGGTCTAAGTTGAGTGCAAGTAGCATCCGAAGACACTACCAAAGCGGTTCTTGTTCCATGTTTGTATATAATTCGATCGATGTATATTTGATTAGTAGTTATCTTCCCGTCTTCAATATTGGTTGACGACTGTTCTGTTGGGCACCAGTTGCCAAACATAATTCTGTTTGACTGCGAATGGTCCTTGCTTCCTGACTGGACGGGAATTTGTTTTTGAATGTGTGTGATTGCCAAGTTTGTATAGCCGAGGATTTTCTGTGAACATAATTCAGGAGGTGATATAGACAGGAGCCAGAGTTCAAAATAAAATTAAGCCGAGCATGTTTTCATGTGCTGACGGTGTGCTTTCTATTTTCTCCTTTCCTGCCCTATTCTGCTCCGCCCACGCATGCAGCCATTCATAGCTCAAATGAATGAGCATTAACTTCAGACAGTGATTCAGCACTTGACTTGAATGAACGGCACAAATGCTGGGTCAGTCAAACCGAAGGTGTTTCAACAGCTGCCGCTGCACTAGCCCTTTACGAGAAGATTGGTGTCACAGCTTGTCAACGCCACAAAACTGCAGGTGCGTTCAGAGAACGTGCTCTTTGAATATCACATCCCATCAGCAGCATCTTTGTTAGGCAGTGACTGCTGAAAGGATCACTGCCCCCCTGCTGCAAAATAACGAGTATATAAAAGGAACATAATTCAATTTAAACTCTTGGAGACAGAGGTGGACACACACACAAACAGCCGCAAAGTGGCGCGCCCTCGTTGCGTAGCTTTTCTGCAAAAAAACGTGCTAAAAGCGTGCTAAACACCTACGTAGCCACCTAACAAGCCCCAGAAAGAAACGGAAAAGGAGAAAGAGCAAGAGGAAGAGGGCAAGAGAGAGAGAGAGAGAGAGTAGGTGTAAGTAGAAGCACGCAGTTTGTCGGATAGCTTGTGAGCAAGGGTGCCGAATGAACGGCAAATTAAGATCTAGTAGGAACCGGTGAAGTGAAACCGATTCTGGGGCTGCCTGAGTTAAATAACCTGAGCAGCCACCTAACAAGCCTAAGAAAGACAGAGAAAGGGAGAAAGAGCAAAAGGAAGAGGGCAAGAGGGAAAGTAGGTGTAAGTAGATGCAGGCAATCTGTTGGATATCTTCCCAGCAAGGGTGCCTAATGAACGGCAAATTAGGAACCAGCAGGTGCTGGTTGACTGAAGCCGATTCTCGCGCAGCCTGGGTTACACCTAACAAGCCTATAGGAAGAGAGAGAGAGAGAAAAAAAACAAAAAAGAAGAGGAACATGAATCAGGAAGGAGAGAAACACTTTCGTGCAAGTTGAATTGGTGAGCATTGAAATAGGACCGCAATTGGAAAACTTCACAGGACAAATCACATGGTGAAATGCAAGAAAATTCCGTGGAAAATCACCATGTACTCGGCAGTATCTGTTCAGCTGTTCCCGGGAAAGCGCAAGAAATGGCTCACGGGGCGCAGGAAGCGATATGAAGCGATCATAAATTTCCAGTGATGAGTTCGGCGTCCCAATCGGGGATCACACTGCATACCCAAGTGGGAAGATGCAGCTGGTCAAACTTAGGTTCATAGCTCAAATGAATGAGCATTAAGTTCAGAGAGTGATTCAGCACTTGACTTGAATGAACGGCACGAATGCTGGGTCAGTCAAACCGCAGGTGTTTCAACAGCGCTGCACTATCCCTTTACAAGAAGATTGGTGTCACAGCTTGTCAACGCGACAAAACTGCAGGTGCGTTCAGAGTGCGTCCTCTCTGAATATCACATCCCATCAGCAGCATCTTTGTTAGGCAGTGACTGCTGAGAGGATCACCGCCCCCCTGCTGCAAAATAACGAGTAGAAGGAAAAACATCAAGTTAAAATCTTGGAGACAGAGGTGGACACACACACAAACAGACCCAACCTTGTTTTTCATTTGCGGTTGGTTTTCTTGCATGACTGCTTTGTTTGCCAATAAAGCTCAACTCATCATCGTTTTGCTTGGTTTTTTGCAGGCGCCCTTGTGATTTTGATGTTATGGGGTACTTTTGTGTTTGTGCTGGCTTCTATATTTTTTAGTATGTGTGTGACCAAAGACGAGATGTTTAGAGATCGCTTCGTCACAACTTGCCCTGGACACCTCGGTCGTTTCCAGTCGCCGACTGGGTGGCATCTTCCGAGGGGCTGCCAGCTGAGCTATGATCAGCTTCAGCTCTTTTTCAGGCCAGGCGCTTCTGAGGATTGGCCCCTTTGATGATTGGTCAGATGATGACAGAGTTTGATGAGAGCTGCAAAACCTGTGGAGATAGATGCACAAAATCTCAAAATTGGAGTCGTGAATAGTGAATCTGAATATGTTTAAACATGTGTATAATGCAATATCATGCAATTTTCATAAATATGATATATATATATATAGAGAATTTGTGTGTTTATAGATATACATGCTTAGAGTGGTTTCACCATTACAGGACATTCACATACCGACAGAGGCAGATATTTCAGCCAATTTCAGAGGAACGCGATGGGGATGATGCACGGTCGCACCAGTGGCCCACTGGTAAGCTACTAGGGGGTATCGAGAACATGTGTGTTTGTAATCAGACAGACCACAATATCCTGACATTATTCAGACGGCAACACCTGGCAAGGAACCCCACGATGCTAGGTCGGTTTGCATTCTTTCCGCGCCCAGCAACATACTTGTTGGTCAAAATTGTTGGCCCAAGTGACACTAGATGACAATAAACGACCCACACATGTGTTGTTTGCAGGTGGCATATGTAGAAAAAACACAAAGAATTGAACGACACCACCCATGTCGTAGGCAGCTAGACATGGAGCAAGGAGAAACTGCTTTCCATCTTGTGACAGCAGACTTCATTCTCCCAATGAATGGCACCACAGCACCACGTAGATCTTCAATTATGAATCGTTCTAAACATGTATAGAGTTGCAGTCGTCCTGATTTTGGGGGAACTAGAGTGAAGTCCTCACCCAGTGACATGTGGTTGGGGATCTCATGTTCATATGCAGAACAAGTTTGTACAAAATGTCTGGGAGGCCAAGCCTGCTGATGTGTCAATGAATCTACTGAAGATAGTAGTCAATCAGATCTCGTCAAAAGCCTTCTCATTGTGCAACGCTGGTCTCTGGCTTGAAGCACGATGTTGTTTGGCCTTGCTACTAGTGTGCAGTTTTGGTCACGATTTTTGTGTTGATGCACCAGACCAGGCTCCCTGGGTTGACTTCTTTGTAGGCTGATTTCGGTTGAAACATGGATTGGTTTGGTTCAGAGTCACTCCATTCCCGGCTTTTGTTCGGCCTGTTCAAGCTTCGGTGATTGAGGCGTCGGAAATAGCGTTTCTTAGAGATGAAGGTTGCCATTTCAAATACTGCTGTATAGATCGACCATTCAATTCAACAACAATCAAAACACGGAGGCTTAAGTATGGCCGCATGCCATACTTGTTCATTTTTCTGGGACCTACCTACAAGTGGTGAGGTTTATGGAGGGAAAGTCAACCAAGGGGGTGCCTCAGACCCCAGATCCCCTTAAGCCATCTTAAGCCTTAAGGTCTTCTCGTTTGGTTTCCACTGTCCAGAAGAGCTTTGAGGAGATCTGGTTGACCGAGGAGTTGCCACCGAGCGCCCTTTGAAGAAACAGGACCAAAATAGTGGCACCGCTGGGCTGGGCTGCAACTCACATGGTTGGCCAAAAGGGTTTGGCAAGGGTGGTGTCTTAGTACAGCCAAGGGATTTGACTAAAAGAAACACTTCTTTGTGTCTCTGAATCGTTTCAAACCAGTCATTCGATCCAAACCAAACATATCAGAACATGTCAGAAGCCCGTCATCCATATGACTCTCGCACCGCCCTGGGCAAGGCGGCCTGTGGCGCCGACCATTCGCTGTTGCTCACCTCTTCGAGCGCGCTGTGGGCGACCGGGCGAGGCAGGGTGGTTCAGTTGAAGCAGGCGAAGACAGGGTGGTTCACTAAACCGGAAAGTCTCAGTAAGCTCTTTTTAGAAGCTGGGTGAGGAATGGATGCCTGAGGTTTGATTGGTTTGCTTTTGGCGAGAACCATGGCCGCAGGATGCCACATGGAAGGAAACAACGGGTTGTGCAGTTGTGCATGTGCAGCTTTCGGCCTTTTTACAGCGCGGGCAGTGCAGCTGCGTTGCGTTGCACGCGTCCAGGAAGGTCGTGTCGCCGGTGTTCCGAATGAGGCTCTGAAGGGCAGCTTGGAGCCGACGTTGACCGGGAGACCCAGTGACCGCGCAACAGAGAGAGAGAGGGGGCGACAGAGAGAGAGTGAGAGGGAGAGTCCGCATCCATGTTGAAACCTGGCACCCTGGCACAACATGTGCCACCCGCAATGCCTTGGGAAAGACAGAGTATTTTTCTTATTGCGGTTTCAGATGTTACATATTGAGTCTCTTGCTTTGATGTTCTTGATCTCAACATTCAGAAGCATCCGGAGTGATACACTTGTAGACGTATAGACTGGTGGCTCGAGAACGAAAGGTCTGGTTTCAGTTTTATTCAGTGTTTTTCTTGCCAAATGCAGTTGCTGTCCTTTTGATTGCTACCTGGTTTTGAGCGGCCCTTCTCATGATTTTGCCTTTTTCCTTAAATGGCAACCTCGTGCATGTATCTATGTTGTTCTATGTTGCTGCAGTCGGTCTAGTCAAGTAAGACATTCAGTTGAGGGTGCAAGTGGGGTAGATTGGAAGACATGCATTTTCCAATGGTCTATATAGCCATACAATTATAGCTTACCCAGTTTCCGAGATGTTTGGGGCATTTCCTCAGATAGGTGCTTGGAAAGATCAAGGCCAGAAAAGTTGAAGAACTCCCATTCAACAGCCTTGGCGGCTTGCGGAAGCCCCGATCTCAGGTGGTCATGGGATATGCTTCCGAGGCATGCTTCCGTGGCCTACTTGGTGCCTCTGAGGCACCCAGCCATCCAGGTCCGACAGCAGGCTCAGTTCTGACTGCTTTGGTCGTCCATCCACGTCCGAGGACGAACGGGTCTTGAGCTTCTTCTGCAGTGTTCCAGCAGGCCGAAGCGGAGTCGTGCGGGCGCCGGATTTAGGGCTGCTGGTTTGGAGATCGAAAAAACGTGGTGGGATCACATGGGACCACCCATTGTTAGTAGTTCCTTCAAGATTTGCACTTTTGTGGACCACCACCACGCTACACTTTTGTTGTTGTGGCGTGGTGGTGAGACGCGTCTTCTGGTGGCAGAAACTGGTTTCAAGAGTTCACACCAGCACCGTTGGCATGGTGAACGGTGGTCACCAAGCTGGAAGAGCGTGGCTTGAGGAGGAGCAGAATGAATGAAACTCTCTTCTAGTTACCTTGCATAGAACAATCCAGGCGTGAGCAGGAAGCACAGCCTATTCTGAGAGAGACAGGGGAGGATGAATGTGCTTCAGGGCAGCGAGAGGGTCGTTTGGCAGGTGGTAAAAGAATAATATAGTCCCAGCAGATACTGCTCTCCTTCAAACGATGAAAGCACAAGAGGCTAGGGCGCAGGTGCAAACCATATCAATGTCCAACGTTCGCTCCTCAGGTGCCGCGCAGGTCGCCTGTGGCGCCGATCATTCCGCCTTCTTGGACCCGCAAGGTCGGGACCGGCACCGTTCGGCGCCTCGTCTCCGTTCGGCGGATCTCGTGGATCTCGTTGCAATCTTTAGGTTGTTTGAGCCCAAAATAGTTGTTTGACACGATCAATCGTGACGTGCGTGAGGACGTTGAAGCATGTCTTAACCAGATCATCGAGAAGGACATGTTGATCCGCTTTTGCATAATTACGCAAGCACATATGAAGATGTCTGGCATAGAAAAGCCAAACTGCAGGGTGCCCCGGGTGTAGTAGAGCCAACCTGCCAGGTTGAAGGTGGCGTAGAAGAGCCAACCTGCGTCACGTCCATGGTCGTTTCAATATTTGGAGCATGGTTCAACCGGAGTTGGGGTAGCAGGACTTGAGTTGTGACATATCAAGACGTTTTTTCGGTTCCCAAGATGTTTGACAAAACTACTTGAGTCCCTGGAGGTGTCCATTTGACACAGGTGGTAGTTTCAGACACCGTGCAGTTTCTTGCGCATGCAGTGTCAGACACCAGTTTGTAAAGGTTTCCGAAGCAGGGTTTCCAAAGCATGGTGGCATGGTGCGTTTCCGAACCATCAACAGCTATAACTATATAGTTATATCATTCTAGTCACCCCAAAATACTAAGCATGGTTGAAATAAATATAAACAACATAGAATAGAACACAGTCGATCCCATTGTTCATTTGCAAACTGCCTTCATTCTGCCTTTGGCTCGGCCAGGTCGAGCCTGGGCGTTTGGAGAGAACTCTCAAGGGCAACTGGGTTTGGGACATTGCGCGGAGGCCTAGGGGGGACATGGCCCGCACTAGTTTCATGAGTGGAAGAAGGACATGTGTAAAATCTTGATGACCTGCAGCAACAAAGTTCTGAGTTGGGGGCGGAAAGGGCCAGGTGTGACTAAGGATACTAAGGAACCCTTGAGTGATAGGCCACCAAAGTAAGCACATCAAACACTGTGCCCCCGTTTCGGTATGTTTCGGTGGCGTCCAATCTTGGTGTGTCAGTTGCCGGCTGTGGCCTTGGGTGGCAGAAAGTCACAAGCCTAGTCTCGACCAGCCCTAGCGACCAGGGCGCTTGTTTCTGTCCCTTCCAGCATTCCAGGTTCATGGCCCCTTTAAGCCCCTTCAAAAGGCAAACGAACACATCCTAATCCAGGACCCTCCAAGGGGTGTCTATTAATAGCCCCTTAGCTGTGATTCGGGGTGTCCAACCACCCCCAGTCCGTCGGGGTGCTGGATGATACCCAGATTGCGCTTTGAGTCTTCCCGACGTGCCTGGCAGCGCCTCTCGCGGCTCGCCGCGAGCACGCGAGTCGCGCGCCGAGGTGATCGTGTGGCCAAGCCTTGCGAGATGTTCTTGCCCTGCTTGGCGGTGGACGTCGATTGTGGCGGGACCGTGGAGGGCGGAGATGGTCACGTTCCATGAGCAAGACGATTCTTATGGCAGACTAAGGGTTGAACCTCAAACATGGACGGGAACAAGGACATCAATCTAGTCGCTCTTAGAGATTGGCTAAGCAAGATTAGGTCCATTTTTGGGACGCTGATATGATATCTCATAGCTGTGTCAAGGTTACAGGTTAGGGACCCTTGTTTTCTTGTTCCAAATAAAGCTGAAGATCTGAGCAGCGCATCTCTCCAGTTTTCCAACATGAAGATAAGTGTGCATCTTTGTCTATATATATCAGAAGGGGTGGCCATGGGGCCTGGGTTTTTGGCTTTCTGTATTTGTAGACAACTTTTCACAAATACAATGAGAACCAAAAAGAACACTGAATAATTTGCAGTCCAAAACAAAAACTTAGAAAAACAACAAACAAACTTGGGAAACCCAACAAAACCTTGGGACCACCCGCTCTCCTATATATTGTCTTCAAACTTGTTGCAAATGTATTCAAAGGCATTTCTCCAACGGACTTCATGGCTCAAAAATAATACTTTGTCTCCTTCCCACGCGCTTGTTTCCGCACTTGACTAGGACCCACACGCTGATCTTGTCAGAGACCTCGGAGGTCTACGGCTGTGGCGGCAATGCGAAGGCGAGGCTCGGCAACCTCGGAGAAGAGCCTGTTGGGTGCTGGTTTCAGTGAAGGTACACTGTTTTGGTCGGGGAGCTCATTCGACCCTGAAACAGACTGCTCTTGGGTGATCCAAAAAGCCATCCAAAAAACCCTGACAGTAGGATTTGTTTTTGAGAAAAAAGGATCTTCATGTTCAGAGGGGACCTTAAGAGGTTTTACACATCGAGGTGGAGCCGCAGGTGTGCGACAATGCTTGGATCTCTTTGGGCTCTGGGGGATACACTCGAATTCTGAAGCTTTGAAGAGGTGTCCTCATGTGGAGCGTCTCAAAAGAGTTCTCAAAAGTAACAGACCATTACCAACCACCCAAATGACCTGGCACCAGCGGTTGGCGGGTTGCGGAATTTAAGGGATCCATTCAAATTCTGAAGACGCAGAACCTGAAAACCAGGGCGGAACCACGCTTGGCGTGAAAACTGGTTTGATTCACAGCATGGAAACCAAACGTGGAGCAACCAAGGAAGAAGGGATAGCCTGTCAGCATTCCGCGTTGAAGTTGACATAGAAATCAGGCGTGCCATGCGTACACTGTCCATGAACCACATTTTGCACCACCACCCTTGGAGACAGGTTGGACACTAGTTGCGCTTCGAGTCATTTCGTTGGACCGGCGGGTGGTGAAAGATGATCCTCATCAAGATGTTTTTTTTGGTAGACTGGTCGAGTTTCTCTTGTAGACTGGTCCTCATCAAGATCTTTGTTGTAGAGAAATGTCTTTGAACCGTTCGAGTTTCTCGTCTCATTTCCCTTGTCCGACTGGTTCAGATCATGCAGGACACAAGGCGATTTGAATTGGGTCCCATGGTACTTGCGCATCTCCAAGCACGGGAGACCAAGACAGGCCACCTTGGATGAATGCTTCGACATAGCCCACCTGAGAAGGTGGGACAGGAGCCCAAGAGAACCCAGCCAGGACAAGACATGTTTACCACGGAAGGATGTGTGAAGTGCTGAAGCTTCGAAGGACACTTAGTCCAACATCGTCCCACTCAGGATCCGCACCCCTTTTGAGAAGGTGATTTGGGATGATTTTGGAATTTGGGTGTCGAAGGTAAAAAGGTATACCAAAGCAGTTTGCCTTGCGGGTAAGCTGCCTCCCTAGGGCTCCAAGTACCTCCTCAGAAGATATTAATTTAGACCCTCCAAATCCGCTTCAAACACCACCTCAGAAACGAGATGAAAGGGGTCATGTCCACTCTCCCCTTGCGCTAGGGTCAACTGGGCCTTGGACCTGACCGAACGGTACCTCGGTGGCGGGGCTGGATGGGGGCGATGCACACGCAGGTAGACCATTCTGTTTGTTTCAAGATTGAAGTGCTGGTGAGATTCTGGCTGAACTCTTTCATGACATACCCCTTTTTCTTTTTGACGGATCCACCGATTTAGGAGGGGATGCGAAGCGAGTGAACGGAGAGTCCAGTCCGACCGTCTCAGCAGTGTCCGGTGGATCCATAGTAGGGTATGTTTCGGCATCTTTACAAGGCTGAAATAGTTCAATTCAATTCACCATTTTTTATTGTCAGGTGTGTTGGTGTAACAGTGTAACTTCAATGTCAGCATCACTACTGTTTGTTGAAGCGCTCTGACATCTAGCCTCACAATGGTCGATTCACGATCGAAGCGTCTATATATATTGTTTGTTCCACTAGGGGCTGAGCCTTTGACGACTCAGTCATAAAGGCCAATCTAGTAGGCCTTCAGAGCTTTATCACGACCTTCTCTGGCTCTCACCCCTGCAATTTGACCCGGAATGATGAGTGATGCTGGAAACTCCCGTCAAATGCACTCTCGTTGGATCTGAACATGCCCAACGTTTGGTTCAAATGATTTCAATTTATCTTCTTGTTCGCTGTCCAAGTTCAGTGAAGAAAGATTGCTTTTGTCATTCCTCTAAGCTATAGTGCCTCCTAATCAGATCCCTATTTGTAGGGCCGGCCATCCCCTCTACCCAACTGGTCAAGATACTTTCGCTTTCAGAGTCCCTGCAAAATACGGAAGATGAACATTCAGTCGGTTTGGGTGAAGGGCAGCCCTGTCGCAAGTGTTGGGGTCCTGAATGTTCCCACGGATTAAAGTAGCCGAACGCCAGAACCTGGAAAATGCAGATAAATTATGATAAATTGTCCTATACCTAAAGTCTCAAGTCCATTCCTGGAACCCCGCAATCCCAAGTGCAGCGTAGGACCGGCATCGGCTCTTTTCACATGAGGATTTGGGACGCCTTCTCTCTCTCTCTTTTTTTTGGCCATCACCTAGTGCTGGCAAGGAGGAGAAGGTGATCTCTCCTTCTGTCAGATCAGCGTCTCCTTTATGTTCACATCAATCTGCATGAGGTCCCTGAACTTTTGCTGATGCCCGAGAGCTATGCACCCATCCGTGCCGAACGTTCGGAACCCCGGGCGGGTTGAGCAACGTTGGTTGCGGGTTCGGCGGGAAGATGAGGTGCTGACCTCGTGTGCCCAGGTCCTTCATGGGAGTCCATGCTTTTCTACGGTATGGCACTATGAAGTACTTACATGTACTGCAAATGGCTGACGGTTCAACCAGGATAAATCTAGGCCCCAGATTCCGGCCAACATTGAACCAGCGGTCGCCACCAAGCAGTTAGAATATGTGTTTCCATTTGTATTCTACTTGCAGTGGTTGAACTGCTGCTGCGTTGCAGAATGACTGGGTGTGGTACTTCAGACACGGTTGTGTTGCTACTGGAACTAGATCACACATTGTCTTGCTGTACAAAACTTGAAGTTCTTGTCTGCCGCCTAAAGACCGTTAAGATTGTTTTAAGCTTTGGTACCACTTTGCACATAGCACTGGGAGGATGTTTGGACATTTGGGAGACACCTGGGAGAAGGTCGCATATTGTTCGATAGAACGTATAGGGCCATTGGGGTCGGCCATTCGGATCCATTGGGCCATTTGTACCGCTTCAGGGTTCCGTCTTCCATTTGCAGTGATTCTGAACTGTTCCTGCCCTGCAGAAGCTGTATTTGCGAGGTCAAGATCTTTTGAATTCAACGTTGCGAGGAAGTGTCGAAAGATGTCGAAAGCTTTAAAAGAGTATGTGTGTTCTTCAGCTAGCTGTACTTACTATGGTTACACAAGCTAGGATGAGGAACCAGAACAACGGAAGTGTGATTTGTTGAGCCACAGTTCAGTTCGTTAAAACGCCTGAATGCATTATTGGCTAGTACAGATCTTCTGTCGAAGCATGAGATATAGAGATTAATGCTAGGAATCATAAAGCCAATTTCTCAGGGTGCTCGACGCTTGAGCTTTGAAGAAGAGCATCAGTGATCTAAAATGCGACCATCAACAGTAGCAACCATTCTGGTCCACAATCATCCAAAGTCATCCTGTTTGTCACAAATGCCAGGATTCAGCTGTGGCTTCAGCCACTCGATGATCCTCCACCACGGAGAACTATGGGTACCTCCAACTGAAGTTGGCAGTTGAAGAACAGGTTTGCATTCGCTGCATGGTGTTCAAATTCCATCAGCGTCTTTTTGGTGGATGGTGGTCCTTTTAGACCTTGTGGATGCGTTCTGATTCTAAGACGCACGTTTGCTACGTAACTGTTGAAATGGGGCATTTCCAAGGAAGATCTTTGGTAAAGAGCATGAGCGAAGACATTAATAACGAACTGATTGGTTGTTCCCCGATGCAGCACTGCTGCAGCACACCCTTTGCAAGACCCAGCATTCTTCTTCCAGGTTCCCTCAATTGGACAAATCTGAGAAGCTGAACATTGGTTGAGAATGTTTGGGACGGGACGAGTGAAGAGGGGTCACATTGGCTTTCCGAACTGGTCAGGACCTCAGGACATATGCAAGGCTTCTCACATCATGACTATGCAAGGCTTCTAGGATTCTAGGCTGATATGAGATATGAGATCAGTTTTGGGCAATTCTTTTCCAAGAAGCAACCATGTTCCGGTGTAGGAGTGCAATGAATGTGTTCTACAGCGCTTCGACGGTGGTTGTGCATGTGTTCCTTTTTTTGGTTGGATTTCTTCATACCCTAAGAATCCAGACTCTCAAAAGGAAAAGGTTTTGAGAGCCCAGAGCCCTGCTATGGAAGCTCCATCCCGGCTGCTAAGCATGTTCTTCGCGGAATCACAACCAAGCCAGCAACTGCAAATGGAAGGTGTCGCAGAACTGGAGCTCGCAGCACACCGTCTTTTGTTCACAAAAAGGTGCCAAAAAGCATCTTATAATAGTATTTTCCCCAAAAGAATATTGAACACTCCCCTATCTCGGAGTCTTCATCAAAAAAACCATCAAACATCATCAAACCAGTACTCAAACCATATCAAAAACCATCAAACCAGTAATCAAAGCATATCAAACAAACAGAACCCGTCTTACAAGGGTTTCTCTTTCATTGGCATTTTGGGTTCCAGGTCCCAACTCCTCGTGTTTCCCTTTGTCCAACTCCTCGATCTGCGGATCGAGGTCCTCGGCCTGCATTCCCGTCGTGTGTGGGAGCTCTCGAGGCGAGGGTGGACCGGTGAGTCCATCGGGTTCTCGGTGGGAGGGATGTGGAGCACAGCTGGGAGATGGGAGGGAGGATGCGCTGCACAGCATTGTCCGATTTTGTTCAGCCCAACTGGGACCGTCCGGACAAATATGCCTCCCCTTTCATGGCGGCCAGCGCATGAACGGTTAGTTCCACGAGGACTGTAGCGACCGTAGCGCTCCTTTTTCGAGACGAAAGGGTCGCAAACTCAACCAGAGAGGTCGGTTCGACATTGTTTGTTTCGTAGGCAGAAGCAATGTGTGGGGGTGTTGTTTGCACTTCGTAGGACACCTCCTCGTCCGTCGCGGAGCGTCCCGTCGGCGAGGCGAGAGGGAATCGACGATCGACTTATCGACCATCCATGGGACTGGCATATTTACCGCCCCATTCACCCCTGGGACTTTGCACCCCAATCTATGCAAATATGGCAGTTCCATGGATGGTCTGCAGGATCGATCGATGGGGAGATCGAGGGCCTTTCCGGTTCATTTGCCTGTTCAACGGAGGATAATGCTTTTTGATACAATGCGTATCTCGCTGCTTCCAGTTTTTCAAGTTTGTGTTGTACAACTCACTTTTGGTTTTATGTGAACTGTGGATTGATATCTTTGTGGCTTGGGGTCAGTTCTGGATCAAGGAATTTGCTTTGGACCTCATGTTACAGCTCTTGGAACACAGATACTGTTGTAGCTCGTTGCTTGATTTACTGTCGTATTGATGAGGGCTTGTCCACCCTCAAGCCTTGCTTGAGTTTTGTTCATGCCACACTGGAGAAATGAGAAACTGTGTTCAAAGCTGCAAAAAATCAGAACTTTCAAACCCAACACCTCTGATATACAACTCCCACATTCCTTCAAGTCATTCCCAGACCACTTGCCGCATGCCGTGACAATCGCTCAAACGTGAAAGTGCCGTGCCGACGTGCGACGTACGACTCTTCGACCTTTCGACCTCAGGTCGCGCGTGCTGGAGCTGAGCAGTGGCGGTGATGAATGCCTTTGTGCCACCTAAGAGGTGCCCTCATCACTCTCACGAATCCCTGGGGGTCATGTCAGACTCGTGATTCATCACCGCAAGTACCAGACGTGGATGATCGTGGATTGTAAGGGCTTTCTTTATTGGGGGGTTGACATATCATGAAAGATCATCAAGAGTCTATCCCTAGATCTTCAGTCCGGCACTTTTACAGGGTCCGGCGCCGGACTTCCAACTCCGGCGTTTTTCTGGATTTGGTCCGGCGCTTTTTCCAAGTCACTTTATGTGGGTTCTCAAGGCTTTGCATTCTTTGTGGTCTGATTTCTTTGAAGGTAAACCCGCTACTGATGCAATGACTTTGTTTGCAAAGTGTGCTCGTTTGCCTGTTCCGCGGTTTTCGCATTCCACCGGTTTCAGCATGGTTCACACTGGATCAATCAGATTCGTTTAGGTGATCTTCTAAATGAAATCGGATGAAGCCGGTACAGTGCGATGCACCTGTTGAAAGACCCAAGTGGGTGTACCTAAGCTGAAAGAGCATAGGCAAAAATGTACTCCCATTGTTTCAGGATGTCGGGGCGCTGGGATATAGTTCTAGCTGCGCAGGTTTGCAGAGCCTGCCGGACAAGTTTTGGGCTGTGGAACATGTGTTGTTCAGAATCTCAATGTTTTGCAGAGAGTTGTCAAAAAATGGCACGTCGTAACTCCGGCGTAATTTCCCGTAATTCCGGCGTAATTTCCCGTAACTCCGGCGTAATTTCCCGTAACTCCGGCGTTTTTTTGGACTGAGTCTTCTGCAGGCTTTGATTGTGAACAGTTTTTCACAGAAGAGTTTTGACAGGAACCATGAGTTCTGCTACTACTTTATGGGGGGGGCCGTCCTGAGGCAAGCTTCAATGAAACATTAAGAAGCATAAGAATCATGGAGAGCAGCCCACTTTGTAAAAAAACACTTTAGAGACACGGTTGCAGAGAAAGAGGGGTTCCTTGCCACATACTCCTTGTTTTTTTCTTGGAAGTCTTTGCTTGGGCACAAGTTGCTTATATTGTGTGATGGCTTTGCTCTTAGGCCATTCGGAAGATGGGCGAGGGCAATGGGAACGGGAAGGTTCGAGTGTGCTCCAGAAAAACTACTCGCGGCGCAAAGGCAGTTTCCTTGTGTCTGATCCAACCTTTTATCATCTCTGTTTTTCAGAATCTTGGATCCGGATGTTTTTTCAGGTCTCCGGCGTTTTTTTCGGAATCCGGCGGAAAATTTTGCCGGATTGAGGTCCGGCACTTTTTTCCGCCCAAAGGAAGATCCAGGTCTGCTATGATGCTGTGGAGACAAAGATTCTGAAGGTACCAAGTGAGTTCGAGCGATGAAGCTCAGAGTTTCTATACTGCAACACTCAACTATATAATGAGTGAATATTCTATCATGACGTGAATATTATATCAATTCGCTGTTGTAGGGAAACCGACCCTTGACATTGTTTGAGTGAGTTGAAGTTGCTAGCATTCTGAACTTTGGCAGCTTGGGGTGGTTAAGAGAGACCTTAGGGATCCTCATTGTCTTCTAAGTGACATGTTCAGCAGACTAGCTTGTACTCTTCTATGTGTGACTTGATCTGACTTCATAACATACCTTTGATGTTGAGCCCAGCTCTTCAGTCGATCACATGGATCACTCCTGGATTTTTCAGTTTGTTGTGTTTTCTGTCCTTTCCATTTTGGTTAAATGAATCTAGAAACCAAATGAATAGTGCTCACGCTTCTTCAAGGAAGTTCCCCCCCGCCCTGAGCGGGGTGGAGCTTCCTTGAAGGAGCATGAGCTATCCTGCGTCCTAGGTAGTAGCAGGTGATTTGTCATTTTCCGTATGGGTAAATCCCTTCTAGAGATTTGTTTACCGGTTCTTTAAGCAAATTTAAGGTAAGTAGATCGTTTAGCCCTTAATTAAGTAGGTGCCACTAATTAATTCAGTACGGCGCGGGCAAGAGAGAACTAACACATGTATTCCGCTTTTCTCATGGATCCCAGCTGGGCAGGCGATCTTCAGTTTGAATGCTGCAGACTGAGAGGGGGGGTTGAAGCGCAGCTAGAGGGTCGAAGCGCAGCTAGAGGGTCAGTGCCCTCACCAGTAGGTTGGAGGCCATCGCTATTAGGTTGGAGTGCCATTGCTATTAGGTTGGAACCGAGGTGTTGAACCGTGTTGACTTGATTTCTCTCCGATTTATGGGGCTGCACAGTATAAACACCACACGATCCTTGGAAGTGACCGCCTGTGTTCTGCACACGTTTTGGCACAAACACATCACATGGAAGTGGAAGGGTGAGTATTGTTGTAGTGTTTGAGATCACCAGCTGCTCATCCATGAGACCCACTGCCAGTATTGTAGGATGAGACCCACTTCCATGTTGCAATGATACATCCTTGAGATCACCAGCTTTTGAGCTCCAGGTTCCGGGGCTGTTTAGACTCCAGGAACTAAGCCAGCGGGGCGGACAAGAAGTTCAGCCGACAACATAGGAGCCACAAAGAGATGGAACCTCGGCATAGGTGTGAGTTGATCTGGGCGTACACAGAATAGGAACCCCTCAAAGATCCCTAGAAGGAAAAAGTAAAACTGGGCCAGCTGGACAGTTTGCAAGCATGTGTTCTTCTTCCCAAGAGGCCCGGTCGCTGAAACAGAAACATATCTAAAAGAGTGCACGGGGCCGGCCTAGGCGTCCGTCGTTGCCAGGGACGCGCACCTGAGGTCATGGGGGGGAGCAGTGCAGCAAGTGGATGTAGAGATGGTGGATGAGGAGGCAAGGACGATCAAGGAGCGACTGCGGTGGGTCACTCACAACCAACATCCTGGCATATGAACTCCCTACCGGACCAGCGGGACCACCACTGACGTGGTCTGACAGGATGTGCCGACATGGACCCGTTAGACCGCTCTGTGTTTGGGCGCGGTTGTGCCAGGTACCATGATGGACCTTGCCGACATTGAGCATCCAAAAACAGCTTGGGTGGTCTCAAAATGTCTCAAAAAGGAGGCAGTTCTTGAAGAACTATGATTAATCTTTGTCTATGTTAAGACTGGAGGGTTTGCAGACACACGTGCTTCCCCAGAAGCCCAGTTGCTGCATTAAAGAGGCTTAAGACTGGAGCCAAACATTGGCCCATCTTGGTCCGAACAAAAAAAGGTGCTTGGAAGCTTTGAGCTTGGCGTCTCCGGTCCTTGGAGACTCTGACTCTTGATCCACTGCATGGTCCCGATGGTCCTGTCGATGGCTGTTCTCAATGAAGAGGTGTGGGCCTAGGCTCGTGAAGATGGCCGTTTCTTCTATTGGCAAACCCAAGGGGTTTTGTTTGGAGAGGAAATGGCCCAGCTTTTGATTCGATCCAATTCGTCGAATTTTGTCAAATGAGTGAAACCCGGGTCGGAACGGGACTCGGAAAGGATCTGAAGCCGTCCATGGGACAAGCAGGGAGGCCCCAGACCACAGTAGCGGTAGGTGTGATTAAAACAGCATGTGAATTGTGGGATCATCAACATATACTATCATGCTACATAACTTACTATTATTATGCTAAGTATTATACTATTACTGATATTTTTTTATATAAGTATGTGCCTGGAAATCAACATATGTTCCACTTGCCTGTCTATCGGTTCCATGCCGTCCGCGACCTCCCATCTCAGCCGGCCATGACAAAGAGCGAGGCCATTTGAATCTGGGACTGACACGACATGAGATCCACGTCTCTCCGTGGGATAACCCATGCTGTCATGCTGTGAAGTTGATACGGGTTCGTATCGCCGTTCTAGTGGCCGAAAAATCTTTGCACCACATCGGGATTTGCTTGGCAAAACTTGAGAAGAACACAGGATCACATCCAGATTATTGTTGTTGGTTGTTTGAGAGCGGGAGGTTCAAGCAGTTCCAAGGATACATCGACCCATACCCAGACATGCAAGGACACATGTCCGGGAAAAACAAAAAGCACCGCACTTGATCAGCGTGTGTCCAGCCCATTGTCAAGCTGCCTCCGCCGTTCGCTGCCTCCGAAACATGGGTGGCCAGGTGGGGTTGTCGGGTGGCCATGTGCGAGTGGGTTGTCCAACAGCCAGACATTTCAAGAAGTAGGAACCCAAATGACCCAAATGTGTTTTGAGTTCACTCACTGGCTCAAGTTCACTCAATTGAAACCTGATCTACGAGTAAACTCAGTGTTGAGTAAATAGCTCCAAGCATCACAGTTTAGCCAGGAAGATGTATCAGGGAATGGTCGGAGATTGTAGGATCCACTAATGTTGAATCAGGAATTTAGTATTGGCCTGAAGATCAAACGTCCCACTCTAGTGTTGATGATAGATTACAGCCAATGGCATCCACCATGATAATCAACTAATCAAGAGAGCTTCCATGTTTATCTACCCTTTGCCTACTCTCCGTCCGTCATTTGGAGGCGCTGCTGCCGGTGGCAATGCCCAGGAGATGGCACGGGCACTGGTCCCGTGTCCAGTGGTAGGGCACTGGCAGTCCAATGTGCGTGGCGGGACACCAGAGACGAGGACAACCCACGAGGGTTTCATTTCTCTTGGTGGTTCCAAGTCCTTCTTTCTTGTGTTTCTTTCATCATCTTCCATCAACTAAAATAGGGACACAGAACGGGATCATTCTGTTTCACATCTTCCGTATACCAGCTTCAGCATGCCGATGTCCTTCCGGGATCCCCCTTGCGAAGACCTTCCAGACCACCCTCCGCACCTTCCGACCTTCGGTCTTTTGACCTCTAGGGTCGTTTTTGGCATCGCCGGGGTGTAAAAATTGAACGGCACCTGGGTGTGCAGTTGTTGCAGGGTAGTCCATGGGACACACGGATTAGATGGTCTTGGTATGTCCTGGTACATCATTGTTGTTGTTTGGGGTGGTGGTGCAGTAAAGCGTTCCGTTAAGAATCTCAGGCGCGCTGAAATACGTATCGTGCTGAATCCTGTCGAACCCAGCAATGTGGATTTTGACCTACAGTAGCCGCCCAATCTTCCATATTCACTGCCAGGCGTCTTCGCAGCACCATTGCTAAACCGCGTGTTTGTGGATCATACAAAACACGACTCAATGAGGCAAAGGACCATGGTGTTACTGGGTCAGACTGGACCTGTTGGGGCAGACCGGACCTGTCATTCCGGCCCGGAGGAGTCCGCTTCGACCGGCCCGGGTGCATTTTGCGGCGCGTCTGGCGGTGCGTTTGGCGGTGCATGGCTGTGACCATTGAGAAAGAATGAAACCAACAAGCAATTAATAATCTATAATAATATATATATATGCATTATACATAGAACACTAGACATTGACATATATTTTTCTCGTGTCTTTTACACCTGCATGCTCTCTAGCCATTTTGGCTGTTGAAAAGAGCCGGCAGCGTTTGCTGATCTTGCTGACTGCCGCCGCACTTTCTTTGTAGTCCTTTGCTCGCATTGACATATATATATATATACATTATAAATGTATTACCCTCTGACTCCCTAACATCTAAGTGGACAACCTTGGAAGACTACTTTCCTCTACCAAGCCACCTAAAAACCTTGAGACTCCCTGGGAGGTCAACTGAACCATGGGTGAGTGAAACGAGCTCCGAATCCACCAAGTCCGGACATGTACCGATGTGGATCGATCCAGCGGTCCAGACTTCGAAGTACTGGCCTTTTGCCCATGTCTAGGATATGTTGTCCAACTGTGTCCAAACCAATCCCAATCCCTAGTGCTAGAATAAAGTTTCCATTGACAAATCAGAACACCGCCACCAGAGCACTAGCGAGGTCCCGCACCAGATCAGCGGCCTCAGGTCCTTTGGGCGGCGCTGATGGGCTTGGCCAGCCCCGTGGGGATCACCTGCCAGAGCGAGAGGGTGGTCAGTGCGAGGATCCGATCCACCAGGCGGTCCCTGTTCCTTTGGAAACCCGAGTAGGTGATTTGATGACTTACTCTGAGCTTGTGACAGCTTGTGCTCTTCCCCAGGTCACTTTGCGCCTAGCGACCTTCCTCCTACAATTGACTCCCGCACTTTGGGGGTTCAAACCGGTTGTGCAAAGGAATATCAGGAACCAATGCACACCGTTGAAGATATGGAACATGCATCGTGAACGTGGTCACCGTCAAAGAAGCGCATGAATGCACTGTGATATCCACATGAATCTCTTCAGGTTGTGGGTGCCCTGGGATCCTGATGGATTTGATGCTCAGGTGCTTCTTTTTCGGTGCTCAGGCATCCCACAAAATATACATCAATATACTATTATTATCAGCATGGCACGTCTGTTCTTCGCCGCTTCCGGTACGCCTTTCACCACTCGCTCCAGCAGCGGCTCGTCGGCGACGGCTGGTCCCAAGGCGTCCGTGGAGGAGGCGGTTCTACGGCTGCCCGAGTCGAAGGGGGGCCTCCAGGTCGATGCGCTCGGCGGGTGCGCCCACCCACACGTAAAAGGCTCTTTGGGCGTGGGTGACCGGAGGGTAGGTGATGGTGGGTGATAGTAAAATCAGGTTTGATGGAGTGTTTGATGGAAGTCTTGAACTTATATAATCAGCTGGGTTCATGGTGAGACAGGATGGGCATTGGATGTCAAGTCGGTGTGTTTTTCTTACAGGAGTACAAATCCTTTGTTGGACTCCACTAGATACTAGTATGGGAATGTTCATGAGGAGACAGTACGAAAAGATTGAGAAGCTTACAGTACGATTCTGATGATTCTGCTTTGCACAGAACAACAGACAATAGAATTGTACTTTGATTTGCAGTGCCAGGGTCTATAATGTGTTTCTACTTGTCCATTTTTTTCCTCCCATATAAATAATCTCTCTGTTTTGTCATCGACATGTGTTGTTTCCTTCCCAGGGAGCCCACATCACCCAGAGCAAGGACGCTACTAGGGGCTCCTGGCCATACTACAAGTAACAAGAAGCTACTAGGAACAAAGGGCATCGCTACTAGGAGCAAGGACGCTACTAGGAGGATCACGAGACCGGACCCTCGCTCAGACCGGACCGTCTCGCGACTCTCCGTCTCCTCACGTCAGCTTTCGTCGGCTTCCCAGGTACTGCATGAAGCTTCCGGGTCCCTTTCGTTCACCTCCGGTGATGTCCGTGGCCGTGCCTCGGTGTGAAACGAATGAAGCGAAGCGATCGACGGACGATGTGTGCCTAGAAGCGATGGCCTCCAACCTCAAAGCGATGGCCTCCAACCACATGATCTTTGGTACCAACGAAGAGATGCTTTCAGAGAGGCATCCATGCACTGACTGGTCCCTGCGACAAGAATCCTCTCAAAGTGCGGCTGTGTGTGGGTTTGTATTTTAGTGGACCCCACAACCAACTGAGTTTTGGTCAATTTTCCTCTTGCAGGGGGTCTTTGGGGGGGTTCCCTGTTCTAATACAAACCCATATCTGAAAGAGGATGGTGAGAACTTCACTGGATCCGAAGCACTCTCACCTGGGATCCGAAGCACTCTGCACTCTTGAGACACACAGCGGCACACACTTTGACAATGGGTTTTCAGGTACATCAATTCCCCGAGGAAAGGAATGAGGGAACGGAAAGGCGAGTGAGTCCGAAAAAGTTGAAGATGTTTAACAAAGGTTTTGCGTGACTGCGGAAGCTAGTTACTGCATTAGCACTTTACTGCAAAAAACGGTAAGGCGAAAGGGTCCGAAAAACATACTGTAACTGTTTAGCAAATTCACTAGAACTTTACCAAAGCGAAGGAAACTTGTTTTGGGGGATATCATGCGAAGAACCACCATGGAAACAAAAAAGGAAAAGTGGAGTCACAGCGTAAACAACAGTTTTTAGCAGGTACATGGAAATGGCGTCCCATTTCCATATCCTCGGATGAATCCCCAGTTTCGTTGACCAGCCGACGATGCATCCTGCCTGGTCCCCTGCTCGTAATAAAACTCTTTGGGACAGAGTATGACACACACACAGCGTGCCGATATCGGCGCCCGAAAGAGATTACGAGCAACCTAAACAGCCTTAGAAAGAAAGGAACGGAAAAGACAGAAAGAGAAACGCTTTGGACAAGAGGGAAAGATAGGTGTAGTTACGAGGCCCACTAGTTACAAAACCTTCTAGTTACTGACTACCTGGCACTCTAGTTACTGAACACTTAGCCCTTGACTTGAGGGAACGGAAAGAAGTGCAAAAACGGTAAGGCGAAAGGGTCCGAAAAACATAACTGTTTATCAAATTCACTAGCACTTTACCAAAGCGAAGGAAACCTGTTTTGGGGGATATCATGCGAAGAACCACCATGGAAACAAAAAAGGAAAGTGGAGTCACAGCGTAAACAACAGTTTTTAGCAGGTACGTGGAAATGGCGTCCCATTTCCATATCCTCGGATGCATCGCCAGCTTCGTTGACCAGGCGACGATGCATCCTGCCTGGTCCCCTGCTCGTAATAAAACTCTTTGGGACTTAGGGGGCCGCCTACTTATAACTTGACTTATAACAACTTATCTATAAGCCCATGTAAGTCCACTTAGGCCTAAGTCATGTAAGGTCATTAAGTCCGTGTAATCGATCATAAGTTCAACAGCCTTGTTTCTTTAAAAAAACTTGTCACGTATGTTTTTTCTTGTTTTCGATGTTGCAAAGTGTATCAGAGCGGTCAACGCACCATCAAATACGCAATGTGCAAATGGAAGTGCAGCGACATGTACAGTGCAACATGTACATATATGTATGTACCATATGTACTTTGGCTCAAGGATCAAGCGACTAGAAAAGGTGCGGTTTCCGTTCCGACGCTACGCCGCTTATGGACCGTCAGTGATAGCTTCAAACTTCGCTGATTAAGATCCACTCGCAGGTTATCAGCCGTACGCGCTCTTTATAGCCGTACGAGCTACACGAGACCAAGAACAAGACTAGTCATTACAGAAACCTGCAATGTCAAGCTCAGGAGGAAATGGAAGCGAACCCTATTCATTCGCTGCTCCTGGTGGTCCCAACATCATTTCGTCACCAGACTCTACAATGGGTACTGATTCATCAGCAAATGCTGACGTTATCACTATGCCTACTGGATCACAAATCTCGGAAAGATCCGTGCCACCGGCTCGGAATCTGACCGATCTTGCACCCGTAGGACCAAGAAGATCGATGAGAGCTACAACAAGATCTACATCGCCTATAACGTCTACCGCGAGATCCCCAAGAAGGAGTATAGAGAAGAGACGTGACGATGATAGAGGAACAAAAGAGCAAAGAAGAGAGATTCAGCTGGGTGAAGAATTGAGATCGGCGAGAAACGCATACAATTTTCTTCATGAAGAATATGAATGCATCCAAGCCGGATACTCACGACTACACCACGAGGCTGAAGTGGAGTTCAGGCAAATGTCTGACTACAACAGGAAGATGCAGGAACATCTACAAGAGATGACACAGGAAGATGAAGGAGCGACAATAAGAATTGAAGAGCTCGAACACAAGCTACGCTTGGCGGAATCGACAGCTGAACATATCTACATGAGATATCAAGAGCTTGCACAAGAAACTCATCAAGAACATTCAGAGCTTGAATCTGTGAAAGCAACGAAGGACAGAATGTCCCAAGAGCTTCAAGCAGCAATTGGACACATCCAAGAACAGAATGAATCTTCATTGGCGATCAATAGAAGATCAAAAGCCATTCAGGATGAGAACACAGCCTTCGTCGGAATAGCTGACCAGATACAAGCTAGAATGATTGCGCTACAGGATGAGAATGTCAACATGCACGAGGTGATCCAACACCAGAGAGAAGAACAATGGAACAGTGAGGTCAGGGAAAGACGTCTTCAACACAGTGTTCACTCATCTCAAGATCGGAGCAATCAGGAAGCTATGGTTATTGATCATCTACGAGGTCAACTAGCTATGGCACGTGGAGCTGAACTCAACGCGAGAGCGGAGATAGAAGAGATGGAAGTGGGCATGAGGATGGAGATATTTGTATGCCAGACTGAAGTCTCTGCTAAAGAAATGGCAGAAATGAAGGCGAGCCACCATGAATACGAAGCAAACGTCGCAAAGGAGGTTATCGCAAAAGGAGAAATATTCAACAACGAAGTCCTAGAAGGTTCCATCCGTGAACGACAACAATTGAAAGACGCCAACCTCGCTCTATCCGAAGCCAACGCACAGCTGAAAAGAGAGAATATGATGAGAGCTCCTATGTTCGGCGATGATGGTGCTGAAATTCAACAGAAGATCAGAGAACTGGAGAATGCACTATTGGAAAGCCAGAAGGAGACAAAGAATGTCATTATGGAAAATGCGAAATTAAAAGCAGAAGCACGAATGGCACCCATAGTCTCTCGGTACAGCAAGCGTCCTAGTTCCAGAGACCGCGGGTTACCAACCCACGCGTCCGAGGAAGATGAGATTCGGAACGCAAAAGAGGAGGCGAAGCACTACAAGGACGGGTACAATGAAATGACAGAGAGCCGAGATGAGATGTATGAATGGTATGCCGAAACCCACAATGAGTACGCCGAGGAAAGGGAGAAATCAATTGAGCTATCCGAGGCGAACAAATCATTGAGGGACAAGATTTCAGAAGCAGAAGCATCCTCTTCATCTCATCTTGCACCGGCAACCTCTACAATCATGAAAGTATCGAGGAAGGAAGAATCAAAGATAAACGTTCCGTCGTGGCCCAGGATCAATGATCTTGGACTATGGAAGGCAAATCTCATTCAATCGATCATCATTGCGGCCAATGATTCAGATCAAGAGCCCTGGATCGACTGGATCAAAGAAGCCATGGACGACCCTGATCCGGACAAGTTTGTCGACTCAGGAGACCAAAGATTCCATTCAATCGATGCTAAGCTCGGCCTAGCTCTTACCAAGGTCGTCATGGATGCGAAAGATGATGGTTCAGGTGTAGCTATGAAGTTGAGGACGAGGATCAATGCAAAAGGGAGAACATCAAGCCTCATAAAGGGAAGAGAGGTCCTAGCCCTGATCCTTATGAATTTCAAGACAACATCAAATGTGGAAGTCTTATATACTTCAATGCACCTTTACCAACTAGAATATCAAGGAGACAAGAACTTATCGTTGTTCTTCCACACTTGGGATGAGATTCTGGCAGGGATGAAGCCCGTTGACGTCCCGAGCGACGAAACTCTTCGGGATCTCCTATGGAGAAAGATCAGGAACTCAAACCTCATGGCATACGACATCAGCGCCTACAATAGCATGAACGACGATGATGCCAAGAAGACATACCAACATCTACGTGATATGATCAGAAGGCACATCGAACGGCAAACTGAAGACAGGATGATCCTGGAAAAGGAGAAGGCAGTGAAGAATGTGGCTAATATCTTTCAGAATCTTAAACCAGGCGGACCTGCTCCAAAACTGAAAGCTGCACCAGCTAATCCGAAGAAGAAACCAAAAGGGCAACAAGAACAGGTTGTCTCAGAAGACGCTGCTGCAGTGAAGCCGAAACCCAATCCCAAGAAGCATCCTGAAGACAAGAACAAAAAGGGAAAGGGGAAAGGTAAAGGGGATGGAAAGGATCGCAGCCGAAGTCCGAGTGCAGATAAGAAGAAGATACCATGCAAATTCTTCGTGAAAGGTAACTGCACTATGGGGAAAGATTGCCCATTCAGTCACAAGAAACCCAGATCACCATCCAGAGGACCTTCTGTCGGAAAGAATGACAAGCCAGTATGTTGGATGTGGATTCGAGGAACTTGTGACAAAGGGAAGGATTGCAAGTTCTACCATGACCCAAAAGCCTCTCCTAAGAAAGGGATATCTGCACCAGCTGACTCAGGAGATGATAGGCCAAGGCCCAAGGCAAAGCCCAAACCGAAGCCCAAGGCGAAGCCTGGAGCTCCAGCCATTGACGGTGAACTCTTCATGGACGAATCCGAAGATGAAGGGATCGCTGCATCCGCCAAGGCAAGAGAAGGAGGTGCAAAAGTGTCCTTTGATGAAGAGACTTGTGAAATCATATTAAACGAAGCGATCTACTCAGTCAGGGACAAATGGAAGGTAGTAGAAAAGAAACCTCTACGTCCGGACATCAAACGATACGATGAGAAGGAGCTCACCTGCTATACGAGGAAAGAACAAATCAGATTTGAA